GCCAGCCAGTCCGATTTTACCAGCTGCTCCCCGGGCTGCAGCTGCGGCTGGCAGTGGTTCCATTGTATAATAACAAGCTGTCAAGCTGGCCCTGCGGCGGACGGGCCCGTGTCTCCTGTTACAGATCCCAGACCCCTGCTCAGCACGCACGGTGGCAGCTGCCGTAAACACGGCTCCTGGCGGCACCGCACCTTCCCTCTTAAGGTAAACCCCAGGATGCTGCAGCCTGGGCTGTGTAGGGAGCGCCCCCTAGGGAGGCCCTGTGGCACAGCACCCCCTAGCACTGTGTGTGTGTGTGTGGGGGGGAAGAGCGCCCGCTACTGAGCCCCCAGACCCATTCCCTGCAGCACAATGTCCCCTGCTGAGCCACCCTAGACCTACTCCCTCCCCCTACAACACAGCCTGCCCCCAGCGCTGCAGCGGGGCCAGCACTGACAGTGAGGGGAAGATGCCCCCTACTGAGCCCCCAACCCTATTCTTTGCAGCACAATGTCCCCTGCCCCCCCCCAGCAACACGGCACCCCGTAGCGCTGCATTGGGGCTAGCATTGACAGTGAGGGGAGAGCACCCCCTTACTGAGCCCCTGCAGCACTGGGGCCAGCACTTATGGGGCAGGGGGAGCCCCAAACCCTATTCCCTGCAGCATGGCACTCCCTAGTGCTGCACTGGGGCATTGGGGCCAGCACTAATTGCAGGAGAAGAGTGCTTGCTACTGAGCCCTAGCCCTATGGTGTGGCGCCCCCTAGTGCTGCATGGGGGTGAGCACTGATTGTGGGAAGAGCGCGCCCCCTATTGAGCCCCCAGTCCTATTCCCTGCAGCATGGCGCCCCCAGTGCCAGCACTGATGGCCAGGGCAGAGCACTCCCTGCTGACCCCCCACCACACCCACTTCCTGCAGCACGGCGCCTCCTAGAGGCCAAGGTGCCATCTGGGACACCTGTCTTCTTCTCTGCCCTAGGTCGTCTGCTCTGCCTCCCTTAGACTGGCCCTTGCCCAGCCAGTATGAACAATACGAGCTGAAGATTGAAGTCCAGCCCCGGACACACCACCGGGCCCATTACGAGACCGAGGGCAGTCGGGGGGCCGTGAAGGCTGCCCCGGGGGGTCACCCCGTGGTGAAGGTACCTGAGCTGCCTTGGAGGCATCCCTGGATTTGCCCCCGGTTAGCCCCATCTCCAGGCGTCCCCAGTGCCCCCCTGGCTGGGGGGAGACAGAGGTTGGATCCCCCAACCTGTGACCACAAGTTTCTCATGAATATGGATGGGGGCGCGGGTGGTTACGGAGCATCGGGTGACATGGCAGGTGGGTCCCAGAGATGGGGGGAGCAGGATGGGGGCAAAAGAGACAGGAGGGGTGGGGACAGGGGCTTCCTCGGCCTTTCTTTGCTATCCCCCTTCTCCGCTCACTCTGCCGCCTTCGCCTTTTCGTTTGCTTCTGCTCCGCTCCTGGCTCTGCTCCGGCTGGGTCCCACCGGGCCAGCCTGCTTGGGGCTCTGTGTGACACTGGATCTGCAGGGGGAGGGCTGGAGGGGGTCACATTCCCCTCTCATTGCATGTCCCCCCCCTTCCTTGTGCCGGCTGGAGCTGCGAGGGGGTGGGGGGTGGGAGTGCACATGCCCTTTCCCACGCTCCAGACCAGGGACAAGCCGCGCATGCGTGTGTGTGTACACAGACACACACTTACACACAGAAGGGCTCAGCCCTTCCAGCAGGGGGCAGCAGGAACACACACACACACACACACAAACAGGCTTCATTTGTGAAAGGCAGAGTATGCAAAAGAGAAACCGAGAGAGTGGGGGAGGATGGAGGGGTTGAGGGGATGGGGCATGTGGGGGAGGGGCTCGGGGTGGAAGGGAGGGGTTGTTAGAGGAGGAGCTCTGGGGATTGAAGGAGTTGGAGGGGAGTAGTTTTGTGGGGGGCTTCAGGGGTGGGGGGCTGGAGGAGGAAGGGTGTTAGGGGGAGTGGAGGGAGACCCCCATTATCCTGGAACCCCACCCCAGTCAGCACCTCTCATCTCAGACCCAGGGGGGGGGCTGCCCCCCCCCCCCCCCCCCCCCCCCGATCATTCCATTCCACCCAGGGGGGGGGGGGGAAGGATTTTTTCCCCTTGTTTCTGTTCCAACCCAAATCGAGTCCAGCTGTGCATCCCGCCCGCTGATTGGAAACAGCTGGGCCCGCCCTGGGGGAGACCACCAAACCGCTGGCGTCGCCCCACCCTGGCTGGGCTGGCGTCCAGACTCCGAGGGCTGCGGGGGGGAGGAGGCACGCGATGGGGCTCTGAGAGAACCCAAGCTCCCTCAGGGGTGGGAAACTGAGTCATGGGGTGGGAGGGGCCTTTGCCTGGCATCTAGTCCAGTCATGGTCCTAGCCAGGAAAGCCAAATCCATTTCTGGTCTGGGTTCCCCCACCCCCTTTCTCTATTCCCTATGGAGGGGGCACCTGGGTGTGTGTTCCCTGGCCCTCTTTCCCCATTCCCTGGGTGACTAATCCAGTCCAGGTTTCCCCAGCCCCCTCCCTATTCCACATGGGAAATCCAGGCCAGGATTTTCATCTCACCCTCCCATTGTCCTTGGGAAATCCTGGCTGGTGGATCACGGGCTGAGCAGATCTGGGCCCTGATTCCTGACTGTCCTCCCCCTTCTTCCCCTACCCCCCCCCCGAAAGCTCCTGGGCTACGACGAGAAGCCGCTGACCCTGCAGATGTTCATTGGCACGGCCGACGAGCGCAACCTGCGGCCTCATGCCTTCTACCAGGTGCACCGCATCACCGGCAAGATGGTGGCCACTGCCAGCTACGAGACCATCATTAACAGCACCAAGGTGCTGGAGATGTCTCTGCTGCCCGAGAACAACATGGCGGCCAAGTGAGTTCCCTGGGGAGCTGCTTCAAGGTTTTCTCCCCATCCCAGGGCAGCACCATCCAGAGTCCAATCCAGCGGGAGCAGGAATCCATTTACAGGTTTTCTCCCCATCCTGGGGCAGCATCACCCAGAGCCCGTTCCCAGGGCTGCAGGGATCCACTTCCAGGTTTTCTCCCCATCCCAGGGCAGCGCCAACCAGAGTTCATTCCACGGGGAGCAGAGATCCGCTTCTGAATTTTTTCCCCATCCCAGGGCAATGCCACCCTGTGTCCGTTCCAGGGGGTGCAGGGATCCGTTTCTAGACACCATCCAGAATCCATGCCAATTGCAAAGGAATCCAATTCTGGTCTCCCCCACCCCATCCCATGAAGATTAGACCAAGAGTCCATTGCAGGGACACAGGGGATCTGGTTCTGGGTCTTCTCCCCATTCCCAGGGGAGGCGGCATCCCAAAGTCTAATCCAGGGGACACAGAGGCCCAGGTCTTCTTGTTCTCCAGGGAGTGGGAGGTGCCTCTAGAGATCCATTCCAGGGTACAAAGAAATCCTACTCCCGATCTTCCTATCTCCACCGGGGCTGCACAACAGAACCCATTCCAATGGGCACAGAGATCCACTTCCGGGCCTTTCCCTTCCCCAAAGGCTGTAGCCCAGAGTCCAGTCCTGGGAGGCAAGGGGTGGGGTGGGGTAATCCAGAAGCTGCACCCCAGAGTACAACCCAGGGAGCTCTGGAACCCAGCTCTGGGTTTTCTCCCCCTCCTGGTGGACCTGCACCCCACAGTCCAATCCAAACAACACAGGGATCCGGTTCTGGGCTTTCCAGGCCCAGGGGTAGGGGATGAGGTGGTACCAAGGGCCCCATTCCAGGGTATGTCCTGCCCCCCACACTCCAGGGGCCCCCCTAACCCTGCCCCCCTCCCCCCTTCCCCAGCATTGACTGCGCCGGGATCCTGAAGCTACGGAACTCGGACATTGAGCTGCGGAAGGGCGAGACCGACATCGGGCGCAAGAACACCCGGGTCCGGCTGGTGTTCAGGGTCCACGTCCCCCAGGGCAATGGGAAAGTCGTCTCCATCCAAGCCGCCTCCGTGCCCATCGAGTGCTGTGAGTGCCCAGTCACCAGGGGGTGCTGTGGGCTAGCCCATGTCTATGGGGTGGGCGCCACCTACAGGCCACACTGGGGGCCGTGGAGGGTTAGCCCAGGGCTATGGGGTGGGCGCCA